GAAAATGCAATTTCCTCTTCACAAAAGATATTTTCTAATTTTCAAAGTGTTTCTTCATTGGAAACATATAATGAAGAAATTAATTCGCTGATAGATAGATAGATAGATAGATAGATAAGTAAGGGCTACTAGATAGATAGATAGATAGATAGATAGATAGATAAGTAAGGGCTACTAGATAGATAGATAGATAGATAGATAGATAGATAGATAGATATAAACAATCTTAGATAGATATGAAAAAACTGAGATAGATAGATAGATAGATAGATCGGGAAGGGCTACTGGATAGATAGATAGATAGATAGATAGATAGATAGATAGATAGATAGGGAAGGTCTATTAGATAGATAGATAGATAGATAGATAGATAGATAGATAGGGAAGGGCTACTGGATAGAGAAATATTTCATTTCGATTTTACATAAACAGTTAGGGGCTAAATTGTACATTCTATCTATCTATCTATCTATCTATCTATCTCAATCTGTTTATATCTATCTATCTATCTATTAATTTATATCAGTCTGTTCATATCTATCTATCTCATAATCATCCATTTTGATTCTTTGTGCTTGCTGTTACCGTATATGAAGCCAAACCTCTCTCGCTAGCACGAAAGACTCAAGTTAGATGAGAACGTACGAAAATGTACGTCTCTACAAATTTAACAATTTTGTTAGGGATTCCGATAAACACTTTCACAATTTGATTCAGTCTTCTGTCCTTCCGTCTTTTATTTATTTCACTTCTCATTTATGTTGTCAATAAGAAAGAAAACTGACAGCAACACCAAAATCTTTGTCAGTGCTTTCGTTATCTATTGATGTCTTTCTATACGACAGGATCGAAAATGACGACAGATGTATGGTAGGCTTTGAGAAACCTTCACATTATCAGAGAACGAAGATATCAAATATTTTATGCGTATTATACTTATCAGCAAATGGAATCGTAAGAGAGATGCTGCCGGTTTTAGATGATTTCAGCATTGACAGGATTATAGACATAATAAATGAAATATACAACCGTGGTGATATACCGGAAGATCTAAAGAAGATACATTTTCATGGTACTGCTTTAGAAGCCAGGAACAAACTGTTGTAGAGTCGTATTCAGTATACTTCCTTATCTCCCTACTACTCTGACCATAGACTGATCTTACGTATAAATATGACAAGTACCCACATTAGAGTAGGTTTTGAGTAGTATTTTATTTACTCAAGTTTTTTCTATTCTGTATATAAGTATTTAATTAATCTCTTCTTCTTTGTTTCTTCTCGCTAGTCTTCTGTTATTTCCATGCCCTCACTAACTACGGCCTTCCTAATTCTCGGCTATTTTCATCTCCTATACAGTGAGGTAAAACAAGTATTTGGACAGTAAAAAAATGGATTTAGAATCATATATTGAAAGAAAAGCATTGTCTAAAGCTCACAATATATTCATAAAACAATTATAAATGCAAATAAACAGCAAAAATATATTATTTGGCACGTATATATATTATATACAAATTATTAAAACAGGTAGTGAAAAAATCCCTATTGCAGACGCTTGCTCAGGCGCATTTGTGTTTATTCAACACCCACAGAGCACACTTGTGGTTTATACTGCAACTATGCTGAGCAGATCTTAATTACAGTTTCTGGGAAAGAGGGTGATATCTATCTATCGACGGCACCTAAGGATTCCGTCTACCCTATTTCATTTACAAGACTTGTGTCAACCTGTAGAATGGTTCAAGAAAGTACAAAACAAATTTTATTCAAAGTAGGGTCCTCTGATTTCATTGCATTTGCTATAGAGCTCCAACCCCTTCACGAAGGCCCCATGGAAGTCATCCAAAGTGAAGGTGTCCAGGACCCTTGTCACAACTTCCTTAATCTTCTCAATGTCTTCAAAACGTCTGCTCGTGAGAGTCTTCTTCAGTTTGAGGAACAAAGTTTGGGACTATAGGGTGAGGGAAGGACAGTTTTGATGACCCTCTCCCTGCTGTGCGCTACTGAGCACCTCGGAAAAAAAACTTTGCCAATGTTCAGAACTTCATGAATATTTCTGTGTACATTTATCACACAAAAATCCAAATTATATGCTTATTGACATTAGGGATACATGACGATTTTTATCCAGAAAATTGCGAATTTTCTCCGCCATCTCTGAAGTTCTGACGTCCAGCTTGTCTTCCTGCTATATCGCTCATCGCCTCTCACATCCTTTCTACCGTCCTCAAGACTCTTGTGCCAGTGGACATTAGATGCTCGGTTCATGCATGTTATTCTATAAGAAACCTGGTGTATTTAATAAATTTTTCTCGCTTTTTGTCCACTTTGTTACAAGATACATAGCAAGATTTTAAATTGTATTCTCGTCCGGACTGCATTTTGTCACAAGAAATGTTCACTTGCGTGTATTCCAAGATGTTTTACATCTTTTTCCTTTAATCTGGAATATCAAAAGTTGGCAAGTCAAATTATTAGAAGTACAGTAATTATATACTAAAACTACAATAATTTAGAAAAGTTATAATTACCTCTGAAAATATCTTGTATCAAAACACCTTGAATGCACCTCGTAATGTAAATATTAAAGTGCTTTTTTCTTTGCTTGTTGTCTCTCTCTCTCTCTCTCTCTCTGTATGTATGTGTGTGTGTGCGCGCTTATGTGTTTGAGAGAGAATGAGAGAGAGAGAGTGTGTGTGTTAGTGTGTGCGTGTTAGTGTGTGTTTCTGTGCATCTGTATTAGTGCTCCTGACGTCGGTTGTCCAATTTTGTTGTGCATTACTCAGTGACAAGGAGAATAATTATATATAAAAAAAAATGGAGGATAGTTTCAGAGAAACTGATTCTTTTCGACAACAACTTTGGAAAAAAGTTTATTTTCCCGCGGGGGTGCTTTCTCGATGACTGCAATCATAACTTCTTCAAATGTAGGAACAATCAAGACACTTACCTCACCCGCCATATATATATATATATATATATATATATATATATATATATATATAGTTAAACCTAGAGAGCCAGTTAAAAAAACCTACCTACTAAGGTTTCACCTAATCGGATCGTCAGGGAAGGCTATATATATATAAATGTACTTTTTTCCCCTTTGGTGTTGGCTTGTTTATTTGCAAATCAATATACCGAAGGTTTTTCCGACCGAGTATAGTTTCTTATACTTATAAGATTTCTATTAATAATAATAATAAGACTATATATATATATATACATGTACGTATATATATATATATATATATATATATATATATATATATATATATACATATATATATATATATATATATATATATATATATATATATATATATATATATGTTTTTATTGAAAGAAGGCTAATAAGGTATTTTGTTTTTGGTTACATTTTCCATTAGTTTTTTTTTTTTGTATCTAAGAAGTTTATTGATTGATTTGTTAATTTAGCAGCATATCAACTCTTTCATGGCTCAATTAGTGCCGAAATGTAATATTGTTGGTTGCTGGGAAGTAATAAATATATGATATATTTTAGTCTACTATCATAATTGAATACATGGTAGATGTCACTCAGATTCTGAATATACAGGTTTGTGAGTACATTATTGCTAGAGGCGGTGATATATCTGTTTTAAGTAGAAGTTTTTTCATGCCATATTTTGGAATACAGTTTGATTTCTTTAAGAAATTGTAGGATATTATAATGAATTCATGTCATGAAAGAGTTCTTTCATATTAGTGGTTTGATTTTTTTAGCGGCATATCAACACTTCTATGGGTTATTTAATGCCGAAATCTAAATATTTTGTATGTATCTAACTACAGATAAATGGGTATTGTTGGGTGGTTGATTTTGTTTAGCGGCATATCAAACTCTATGGGTTATTTAATGCCGAAATCTAAATATTTTTATGTTTTCACCTACAGATGAATAGGTATTGTTCGTTGATTGATTATGTTTAGCGACATATCAACCTATATGGGTTATTTAATGCAGAAATATAAATATGTTGGATGTCTTCAACTACAGATAAATACGTATTGTTGGTTGGTTGATCTTGTTTAGCGGAATATCAACCTCTATGGGTTATTTAATACCGACACTTTTTTTTTACTGGTAATATTTTGTTTTGTCAAAACTTATTTCTGTTAATATTTTGTCCTCAAAAATGTATAGCTGGTAATATTATTTTTCAAAAACGTATAGCTGGTAATATTATTTTTCCAAAAATGTACAGTTAGTAATATTTTTCTAAAAATGTATTGCTGGCAATAGTTTTTCTCTTTCATCAAATTTCATTTCCGGTAATAATTTTTTACAAAGTATTTCTGGTATTAAAACTTATTTTTACACTTTTATAATACCTTTTAATTCAGTTACTGGGTTAACTATTTGTCCATAGCTAGGACCCTAACAGGTGCTACCACTCCGCGTCAGGGAGGACCTGGGAACATCAGCAATTAAGAGGAGGTTCCACGCTCTTCAAAGCCTTCTGATCAGAGGTCTTGCTGCTGAACGTAGCTTATCGTCTTACCCTTGGACGCGGATGTCGTTTATCGTCATACCCAGGATGCGTAGAAAATAATCTATCACTCACAAGGACGCGGTGATGCTTTTGTGCTCTATAGATTCTGAAATGTGAGGACTGGACAAAATATGTAGGTGTTCCATTTTAGGCCTGATCTGGCTCTTGTCAATGTCTATGATAGATACTTACTAGACAGGTACAAGGAACTGAACACTTTTCCTGCATCTTTAGCGATGAATCGTATGTACGAGGTCCACTTGAGGTCTTGAATGCATTTAAGGACCACTAGTTGCTCAAAGCAAGGTTCTCTTCGGGGGACATCCTTTTAACGTAAGTGGTAGTAGTTCGGGTTGCGCTCGACGAAAACCTTTCGCAACAAGAAAGAAAGTTGCAGGGAAATATAGCTGTGATTAACTTCAGATATCTGTTCATCTGTGTGAGCTTCAGAAAATTTCGAATTGAATCTTCACGTTAGTCTATGGTATACAAATTATTCTTGTTCTACTCACCATATCTATGGCGTATCTTGTTTCTATTTCTTCGCACTCTTCAGTTCTTGATCGTCGTTTTTCCACCGAGTCTATCGAACATCTATCTTAACTACCCTTCAGCTATAAATATTCTCATTATCTACATTAGAACTTCTGTTCAATTAATTGTTAATCAGCATCGCCTCGCCTGTCTGCTATCTGCTTCACAACCGAGTAGTGGCGCCTGGCTCAACGCAGTGCACTCTTCATCTACCGGTACCCTTCTAGATGATGAATGCGCTCGAGTCGGGATCCGTCTTGGACTCAAATTATGTGAGCGTCACAGATGCAGATGTGGAGCTTCCATTGATGAAATTGGTTTGCATCCTCTCTCCTGTCGTCGTAGTGCCGGCCGCTTTCCACGGCAAACAGCAATAAACGACATCATCAAAAGAGGTTTGGATGCAGCTGGGTTCCCTTCGCAAATCGAACCCGTAGGCCTCGACCGCGGTGATAGAAAGCGGCCGGATGGCATTACCATTTTCCCTTTTAAAATGGGGAAGTCATTGATTTGGGATGCGACCTGTGCGGATACATTTTCGGCCGGTAATTTGATCAGTTCTGCGGTTGAGCCAGGATTCGTCGCCCGGGAAGCAGAGATGAAAAAAAATAGTTAAATATTCTTCTCTTGCTGATAGATTTGTTTTTACTCCTGTGGCAGTGGAGACTTCTGGGGTTATTGGCCCTCGTTCGATGGCGTTCCTTCGGAGAATTGGCGCGATTGCGTCTCGATTAAGGGACGAACCTCGCGAAATGGAGTGTTTAACCTTTTCTCACTGGCGATGGTTCGAGGTAATGATTTCTCCATCATTGCGGCTGGCAGAGGATAGAAAAAAAATGTTTATAGTTACGTTGTTCTGGAATTGTCATCAATGGTCAACTGAACTTGTTTTGTTTCAATATCTAAAGAAGTAATTCTCAACTGATAACAAATCTAGAATGCTTATGTGCGCACGCGCGTATGTTCGTGTTCTACAAAGAGAATAAAAGACGGCAGATGACTAAAAATTAATTGTTATCGCATTTAGATCGATACGCCTTAACGTCTGCTTGAGGTGTGTGTCCAATCTGGTAATTCACAAGGTATTTACTAAATTAACCATCTATTTTATCTACAGCTTCAGTGTGACACGTTTAAAACTTTTCTCTTTGTTATCCCCTTTCACTATGTATTGAGAACTTCCCTCGAAAAACATCACCATCCAGGTTTTACTGTATCATCAATACCTGCCGAAAATTTGAACGACACTGACTATGCAAATGACCTCTCTGTCACGGTAGACATCATTACCAATGTCACAGTTCTCCTACATCATCTAGAAAATGCTGCTAATGATGTTGGACTCTATAGCAATGCCTTTAAAACAATTCATAAACGTCAACCAGCAAGATGCAGTACAAACTGACTCAGGTAATTCGATAAAATTTGCCGAATCTTTTACATATCTAGGAAGCGAAGTAATATCTACTGAAAATAATGTGAAAATTCGCATAGCTAAATCCTGGGCTGCCTTCAATAAAATGGATGTAATCTCGAAATCTAGTCTATCAGACAACTTCAAAGGGAGATTCTTTCGCGTCACTGTAGAGGCGGTTTTAATGTATGGTGTCACTGCTTGGACATTAACTAAAACCCAAGAGTTTAGATTGATGGAACCTACATTCGGATGTTGAGAGCTATACTTAACATTTGGAGACAATATCCAATTAAATCACAGCTCCATGGACCTAGCCCTAATATTTCTAAAATCTTAAACACTTGAGTCTAAGCTTTTGGAATCTACACTCGGATGCCGAGAGCTATACCTAACATCTCCTGGAGACAACATCCAACTAAATCACAGCTCTATGGATCTAGCCCTAATATTTCTACAATCTTACGCGAAAGTGGAATGTAAGTTGCAGTTCAATTCTGCGGGCAAAACAAGAACTTGTCAGTGATCAACTGTTTTGGACACCCAGCCATGGCGCAAGACGTTCTGATTGTCCACCAATCACCAACATTGACCAGCTATGTTATGATATAGATGTTACCCTAATGACCTTCCGACCTTGACGCTGAACTGTGATAGTTGGCGTGAGAGGCTCATGAATACCAGACCTCTCTCAACCGAATTATTGACTGCTGTTTTTTCGCAGTCCATGTCTACCGATATCCCGTCTTGTATTTTTTATTATTACACAATTTTTACTCGCTCTATGTTCAGTTGAGTTAAACGTTTGCCCTACCCACCCCAGAGATTGAACTCATAATGACTGTATCTACAAATTCCCCAAATAAAGCTTTTTTAGTGACTAATTCCCTGTGGTGAAGATATATTTTGTAAAAAATATTTTCCTGGTTTTAATAATTTATAGAATTAGGAGTTATACTTATTTACATTTGAACGGATGTCATTGCTTTTTATGTTTTTTTTGTGTTTTTTTAAAAAAAATTTTATTTTTTATTATTATCGCAACGTTTCGGCCATTTTGCCATCTTCAGGTTTTTATCGACCCGGGTAGCTTTCAAGGGAATTTCGAAAGTAACGCTTTATTTAATGTTGTGTGGGAATAATGGATAGTGGCTCAGATTTAGGAATCGGAAAGCCGGTTTCGAATTTTAGTCGAGTTCATTAATATTTACTTACGTGCAAATAACATTAGGAAAGTTATTAATCCATATATCCCCCATCAGCTATGGGTTAAATAGCAGGACAGACTGGATCTTATAGCTTTGGCTGTTAACAAGACTAAGAGAAGGATAACTTTGAATTGAAATTTACAACTATGAGCCAAATCACTCCACGACACTGCAATTGGCCAAAAGTATTGAGTACGGATACACCATTGTAGAAATAGTCAGTCAATGAGGGGTACATCTAAGTAATTAGAAGGACTTAGATTTTGAGTTTTCATTTCTCGTAAAAAAAGAAAGTTTACCATAGTGTATATTGCTCACATTCTGCTGAATCTGGCAATCTAGTCTTGTTCTTTGAACTCAGAAATGAAAACAAGAATAAGAGAAAGTAAGGGCGAGCCACGTAGTTTATTTGATATCTGTTTGTTTCAACACGTTCACCTAACTTTTAGCAGCGTTATTTCTCGTTATCTTTCTCGATTTTATCATCTCTGCCTTCCGTATTTTGTTCATTACTGCCAGCTCGGTGTGATGTGGTACTATCATTTTCGCTCGTCGATATTTATTTATTAAGAGAGAAAATATGTCTCCAGCTTCCTTTTCATCATTTTCACCGTAAGTGGCAGTTTCCACTCGGATCGAGCGATATGTCATTGGCCTGTCAGATTTCCCGCCGCTTATTAGCTTCGACATTTGTTTATGGCGGGAAATCTGTGCTGGCATCTTTCGGAAGTCGGAAATTTTATAAAGGATGGTGATAAATTGCGTTTAGACTCATCTTTGAGCGGCGGAAACGTTTTTCGTCCCATCATTCAAGGTAGAAGTTTTCTTTCCGATGTAGATTTTTAGTTTTTAACGATATTTTTTCTTTTTTTTTTTTTTTTTTTTTTTTTTTTTTTTTAGCATTTTTCTTATTTGTTGACTTCTGATAATTTTTTCATTGTTTCTTCATAGTTTTTTTTTGTTTTGTTTTTCTCTCCGATCATTCTTTTGGTCATTTTTCTTTCATTTGTCTATTTTTTTTACGTCTTTCTCTTTCTTTTACTTTCTTTTCGCTCTCTTTTTTGTCTTATTTTTTCATTGCCATTCATCAAGCCTTCTTTTTCATTCTTTCATTTTCTTTTTTATTTCCTCCTTTGTCTCTTTATTTTCATTTTCTTTTGTTCTTTCTTTCATTTCATTTTCATTTTCTTTCAATATTTCTTCTTTCTTTCTTTCTTTCTTTTTCTTTCTTTTTTCTTTTTTCAATATTTCTTCTTTCTTTTTTTTTTTTCATTTTTTCAATATTTTTTTTTTCTTTTCATTTTCATTTTCTTTCAATATTTCTTCTTTCTTTCTTTCTTTCTTTTCATTTTCATTTTTTCTTTCAATATTTCTTCTTTCTTTTCTTTCATTTTTTTCTTTCAATATTTCTTTTCTTTCTTTCTTTTCATTTTCATTTTTTCAATTTTTCTTCTTTTTTCTTTCTTTCTTTCTTTCTTTTTTTTTTCTTTCTTTTTTTCATTTTCATTTTTCCTTTTCTTCTTTCTTTCTTTCTTTTCATTTTTTTTCTTTTCCAATTTTCATTTTCTTTCAATATTTCTTCTTTTCTTTTCATTTCATTTCTTTCAATATTTCTTCTTTCTTTCTTTCTTTCTTTTCATTTTCATTTTCTTTCAATATTTCTTCTTTCTTTCTTTCTTTCTTTCTTTTCATTTTCATTTTCTTTCAATATTTCTTCTTTCTTTCTTTTCATTTTCATTTTCTTTCAATATTTCTTCTTTCTTTCTTTCTTTCTTTCTTTTCATTTTCATTTTTTTCAATATTTCTTCCTTCTTTCTTTCTTTCTTTTCATTTTCTTTCAATATTTCTTCTTTCTTTCTTTCTTTCTTTTCATTTTCATTTTCTTTCAATATTTCTTCTTTCTTTCTTTTCATTTTCATTTTCTTTCAATATTTCTTCTTTCTTTCTTTCTTTCTTTTCATTTTCATTTTCTTTCAATATTTCTTCTTTCTTTCTTTCTTTCTTTTCATTTTCATTTTCTTTCAATATTTCTTCTTTCTTTCTTTCTTTCTTTTCATTTTCATTTTCTTTCAATATTTCTTCTTTCTTTCTTTCTTTCTTTTCATTTTCATTTTCTTTCAATATTTCTTCTTTCTTTCTTTCTTTCTTTCTTTTCATTCTTCCCTCCTTCGAGCTTTCATTTTTCTACTCTTCCTCTTTTTTGCCTTCCTCCGTTGTGTCTTTCTCATTTTTCATTCTATTTTTTTTCCTTCATTAACACTATTAATTTTATATTCATATACTTTCTTTCTTCTATTTTCCTTCTTTTGCACTTCATTTTAGTTCTTTGTTTTTTTCCTTTTTTCTTCTCCTGTTTCGTTCTTTCTTTCCCTCTTTTTTATTTCTTTATTTCATTGGCCATCTTTCTTTCTCTACTTACGACTGTATATTTAAGTCTTTGTTGTGTTTTTACATTTTTTTCTTTCTCTTTATTCTTTCCGTTTCTATTTTTATTATTTACTTCTTTTCATTTTTACTTCCTTCTTTCCTTGCATATTTCTTTCTTTATGTCGTTCGCTGTTTTTTCTTTCTTTTCATTCAAAACATTTTCTTTACCATTTTCTTTTTTTTTTCTCTTTTTCATTTTCATTTTCTTTTTTGTTAATTTTTTCTTTCTTTTTTTTTTTCTTTCTTTTCTTTTTTCTTTTCAATCCCTCTTTATATATTCTTCGTTCGTTTTTTCTTCCTTGATTTTTTTATCCCTTCCTCCATTCATTGCTCTTTTTTCTCATTTTTCTTTCTATCTATTTTTATCCTTCATCTATCTATCTATAATTTTATATTCATATTTCTTCTTTCTTCTATCTTTCTATCTTCTATTTATCTATCTCATTTTAGTTCTTCTTTCTTTCCTTTTTCTTTTCTTCTTTCTTTTCTATCTATCTATCTTCTATCTCAATTTCTTCTTTTATTATCTATTATCCATCTTTCAGTTTCTTCTTATCTATCTATCTATCTATTTAAGTCTTTCTTCTCAATTTTTTTATCTATCTATTTTATCTATTTCTATCTTTCTTCTTCTATTCCGTTTTTCTTATTTTTATTATTTATCTTCTATTTCATTTTCTTCTTTCTTTCTATCTATCTATATTTCTATTTCTTTATATCGTTCTCTGTTTCTTCTTATCTATCTATCTATCTATCTATCTCAATTTCATTATCTATCTATTATCTTCTTTTTTCTCAGTTTCCTGTTGATCTATCTATCAATTTCTTTTCAGTTTCTTAATTTTTTCTTTCTTAGGTTTTAATTTTCTTTCTTTTTCTTTATTTCTTTCTCAATGTAATACTTTATATATTCTTCGTTCGTTTTCTCAAGTCTTTATCTTTCTATAGAATTTTCTTAGATCCACTTTCTTCTTTATCTATCTTCTATTTCTATTTTTATTACATCTCTGTTTCTTTTATCTTCCATCTTTTTTTATTTATCTATCTATTCTTTCTCCCCATCCATCATTCTATTATCTTTTTTATCTCAGTTTCTTCTTATCTATCTATCTATCTATCTATCTATCTAGTTTCTTCTATCTATCTATCTATCTATCTCAGTTCTATCTATCTCATTTTTCTTATCTATCTATCTATCTATCTATCTATCTATCTATCTCAATTTCTTCTTATCTGTCTATCTATCTATCTATCTATCTGTCTCAGTTTTTTCATATCTCTAGATTTTCTATCATAATTTATCTTATCTATCTATCTATCTATCTATCTATCTCAGTTTTCTTCTTATCTATCTATCTATCTATCTATCTATCTCAGTTTCTTCTTATCTATCTATCTATCTATCTATCTATCTATCCAGTTTCAGTTTCTTCTATCTATCTATCTATCTATCTTTCTTCCTTATCTATCTATCTATCTATCTTTCTTCTATCTATCTATCTATCTATCTATCTATCTATCTATCTATATCTATCTATCTATCTATCTATCATTTATCTATCTATCTATCTATCTATCTACTTCCATCTCAGTTCATCTCTATCTATCTATCTATCTATCTATCTATCTCATCTTTTATCTATCTAAGATTTCTTCTTATCTATCTATCTATCTATCTATCTATCTATCTCAGTTTTTCTTCTATTATCTATCTATCTATCTATCTATCTATCTCAGTTTCTTTTTCATCTATCTATCTATTTCTCATTTCTATCTATCTATCTATCTATCTATCTATCTATCTATCTATCTCAGTTTCTTCTTATCTATCTATCTATCTATCTATCTATCTCAGTTTCTTCATATCTATCTATCTATCTATCTATCTATCTATCTATCTATCTATCTATCTATCAGTTTCTTCTTATCTATCTATCTATCTATCTATCTATCTATCTATCTATCTAGTTTCTTCTATATCTATCTATCTATCTATCTTCTTAGTTCTATCTATCTATCTATCTATCTATCTATCTATCTATCTATCTATCTCATTTCTTCTTATCTATCTATCTATCTCTATCTATCTATCTCAGTTTATCTATCTATCTATCTATCTCATTTCTTCTTATCTATCTATTTCTTCTATCTATCTATCTATCTATCTATCTATCTATCTATCTCAGTTTTTATCTAAGATTTTTATCTATATATCTATCTATCTTCTTATCTATCTCTATCTATCTATCTCTTCTATCTATCTCAGTTTCTTCTATCTATCTATCTATCTATCTCATTTATCATATCTAAGATTTTTTCATATCTATCTATCTATCTATCTATCTATCTATCTATCTATCTATCTAAATTTCTTCTATCTATCTATCTATCTATCTATCTATCTATCTCAGTTTCTTCTTATCTATCTATCTATCTATCTATCTATCTATCTATCTCAGTTTCTTCTTATCTATCTATCTATCTATCTATCTATCTCAGTTTCTTCTTATTATCTATCTATCTATCTATCTATCTCAGTTTCTTCTTATCTATCTATCTATCTATCTATCTATCTATCTCAGTTTCTTCTTATCTATCTATCTATCTATCTATCTATCTCAGTTTTTTTCATATCTAAGATTTTTCATATCTATCTATCTATCTATCTATCTATCTATCTATCTATCTATCTCAGTTTCTTCTTATCTATCTATCTATCTATCTATCTCAGTTTTTTCATATCTAAGATTTTTCATATCTATCTATCTATCTCAGTTTCTTCTTATCTATCTATCTATCTATCTATCTATCTCAGTTTCTTCATCTATCTATCTATCTATCTATCTATCTATCTCAGTTTTTTCATATCTAAGATTTTTCATATCTATCTATCTATCTATCTATCTCAGTTTCTTATCTATCTATCTATCTATCTATCTATCTATCTATCTATCTATCTCAGTTTCTTCTTATCTATCTATCTATCTATCTATCTATCTCAGTTTCTTCTTATCTATCTATCTATCTATCTATCTATCTATCTATCTCAATTTCTTCTTATCTATCTATCTATCTATCTATCTATCTATCTATCTATCTCAGTTTCTTCTTATCTATCTATCTATCTATCTATCTATCTCAATTTCTTCTTATCTATCTATCTATCTATCTATCATCATCCATTTCTTCTTATCTATCTATCTATCTATCTATCTATATCTCAATTTCTTCTTATCTATCTATCTATCTATCTATATCTCAGTTTCTTCTATCTATATCTCTATCTATCATCTATCTCATTTATCTATCTATCCATCCATCTATCTATCTCAGTTTCTTTTTATCATCTATCATATCTATCTATCATATCTATCTATCTATCTATCTATCTATCTATCTATCTCAGTTTCTTCTTATCTATATCTATCTATCTATCTCAGTTTCTATCTAAGATTTTCATCTATCTATCTATCTATCTATCTATCTATCTATCTCAGTTTCTTCTTATCTATCTATCTATCTATCTATCTATCAGTTTCTTCTTTCTATCTATCTATCTATCCTATCTATTTCTATCTATCTATCTATCTATCTATCATCTATTCATTCAGTTTCTTCTATCTATATCTATCTATCTATCTAGTTTCTTCATTCTATCTATCTATCTATCTATCTATCTATCTATCTATCTCAGTTTCTTCTTATCTATCTATCTATCTATCTATCTATATCTCAGTTTTTTCATATCTAATCTATTCATCTATCTATCTATCTATCTATCTCATTTTTCTATCTATTTCTTCTTATCTATCTATCCTTTCTATCTCATATTTTTTTCTTATCTATCATATCTATCTATCTATCTATCTATCTATCTCAGTTTCTTCTCTATCTATCTATCTATCTATCTATCTAGTTTCTTCTTATCTATTATCTATCTCCATATCTATCTATCAGTTTCTTCTTATCTATCTATATCTATCTATCTATCAGTTTTTTTTCATATCTAAGATTTTTCATATCTATCTATCTATCTATCTATCTAGTTTCTTCAGTCTTCTATCTATCATCTATCTATCTATCTATCTATCTCAGTTTCTTCTTTCTATCTATCTATCTATCTATCATATCTATCTATCTATCTATCTCAGTTTCTTCTTATCTATCTATCTATCTATCTATCTATCTCAGTTTCTTCTTATCTATCTATCTATCTATCTATCTATCTATCTATCTCAGTTTTTCATATCTAAGATTTTCATCTATCTATCTATCTATCTATCTATATATCTCAGTTTCTTCTTCATCTATTATCCATCTATCTATCTATCTATCTATCTCAGTTTCTTCTATCTATCTATCTATCTCAGTTTCTTCTTATCTATCTATCTATCCATCTATCTATCTATCTATCTATCTCATTTATCTCTTCTCATCTCATCATCTATCTATCTCAGTTTTTTTCTATCTCAGTTTTTTCATCTATCTATCTATCTATCTATCTCAGTTTCTTATCTATCTATCTATCTATCTATCTATCTATTCATATCTAAGATTTTTTCTTCCATCCAGTTTCTTCATCTATCTATCCATCCATCTATCTATCTCAGTTTCTTCTTATCTATCTATCTATCTATCTATCTATCTATCTATTTTTTCTATCCAGATTTTTCATCTATCTATTATCCATATCTCAGTTTTTTTCATCTATCATCTATCTATCTATCTATCTATCTCAGTTTCTTCCATCTATCTATCTATCTATCTATCTATCTCATCTATCTATCTATCTATCTATCAGTTTCTATCTATCTATCTATCTATCTATCTATCTATCTCAGTTTCTTCTTATCTATCTATCTATCATCTATCTATCTATCTATCTCAGTTTCTTCATATTATCTATCTATCTATCTATCCATCTATCTCAGTTTCTTTATCTATCTATCTATCTATCTATCTATCTATCTCAGTTTCTTCTATCTATCTATCTATCCAGTTCTATCTATCTATCTATCTATCTCAGTCTTTTTTTCATATCTAAGATTTTTCATATCTATCTATCTATATCTATCTATCTATCTATCTCAGTTTCTTCTTATCTATCTATCTATCTATCTATCTATTCAGTTTCTATCTATCTATCTATCTCCATCTTTTCTTTCTTCTTTATCTATCTATCTATCTATCTATCTATCTATCTATCTATCTATCTATCTCATCTTTTTCATATCTAAGATTTTTCATCTCTATCTATCATCTATCTATCTCTATCTATCTATCTATCTTCTTTTTTCATATCTATCTATTTATCATCTATCTATCTATCTATCTATCTATCTATCTATCTATCTATCTATCTATCTATCTATCTATCTCATTTATCTATCTATCTCATTTATCTTATCTATCTATCTATCTATCTATCTATCTCAGTTTTTTTCATATCTAAGATTTTTCATCTATCTATCTATCTATCTATCTATCTCTTTCTTCTTATCTATCTATCTATCTATCTATCTATCTATCTCATCTATCTATCTATCTATCTATCTATCTATCTATCTATCTATCTATCTATCTCAGTTTCTTCTTATCTATTCATATCTATCTATATCTATTTATCTATATCTATTTTCATATCTATCTATCTATCTATCTATTTATCTATCTATCTATCTATCTATCTATCTATTTTCATATCTATCTATCTATCTATCTATCTATCCAGTTTATCCTATCTCAGTTTTTTTCATATCTATCTATTATCCATCTCATCTATCTATCTATCTATCTATCTATCTATCTATCTATCTCAGTTTCTTTCTCCATCTATCTATCTATCTATCTATCTATCTATCTATCTATCTCAGTTTCTTCTTATCTATCTATCTATCTATCTATCTATATCTATCTCAGTTTCTTTCATATCTATTATCTATCTCATCTTCATCTATCTATCTATCTATCCATCTATTGTTTCATATCTAAGTTTTTTTCTTATCTATCTATCTATCTATCTATCAGTTTTTTCATATCTAAGATTTTTCAGTTTCTTATCTATCTATCTATCTATCTCATTTATCTATCTATCCATCCATCTATCTATCTATCTATCAGTTTTTCATATTTTTCATCTATCTATCTAAGAGTTTTTTTATATCTATCTCTATCTATCTATCTATCTCAGTTTCTTCTTATCCTATCTATCTATCTATCTATCTATCTCAGTTTTTTCTTCTTATCTATCTATCTATCTATCCATCAGTTTCATCCCAGTTTCTTCTATCTATCCATATCCATCTTATCCATCCTATCTATCTATCTATCTATCTATCTCAGTTTCTTCTTATCTATCTATCTATCTATCTATCTATCTATCTATCTATCTCATCTATCTATCTATCTATCTATCTACCGGCCATCTATTCATATATCCATCCATCATATCTATCTATCTATCCATCTATCTATCTATCTATCTATCTATCTCAGTTTCTTCATATCTATCTATCTATCTATCTATCTATATATATATATATATATATATATATATATAAATATATATATATCAGTTTCTTCATATCTATCTTTATCAGTTTCTTCATATCTATCTATCTATCTATCTATCTATCTATCTATGTTCCTATCTATATATATATATCAGTTTCTTCATATCTATCTATCTATCTATCTATATATATATATATCAGTTTCTTCACATCTATCTATCTATCTATCTATCTATCTATCTATCTATCTCAGTTTCTTCATATCTATCTAAGGTTTTTCATATCTATCTATCTATCTATCTATCTATCTATCTGTCTATCTATCTATCTATCTATCTATGTTAATTTTCTTTTTCGACTTTCCATAATCTCCCCCAGTTATTGGTTAAATTGTAGCAATTTTTGTGGGTAAATAATTGTAATCTAAAAGAAATAGTTCCTGCCATATGCAGACGAAAAAAAAGAGTTATTCGCACAATGCAAAATATATTTCGGTTTTAAATAACTTTCGGTTTATATATATTATATATATATATATATATATATATATATATATATATATATATATATATATTATCATTGTTATCCTCTGTTATGCAAGGTAGCGGAAAAGAACGCCCTCCCAACAAATAATGAATTAATTTTAAATTTCTTGAATAAATGAAATAATGACCGTACACGCAAGACGCTAGTGACCCACGCCGGCGATCCGACAGCGGCAAACGTTAGTGGCGTGCTACCCAGGGGCAGATTGGTGGCTTCCGTTTCAGGGTTATGTAGTTTTATTGGAATAATAAAGAAAATGAAGTCACGGACAACATATGTGTACTTTTCCAATGAGAGTTTTGGGAACAATAAGGCTCATTAAATGTCGTCAAGCCCAAGCACGTTTAGTTTTTTTTTGCATATATATAATATATATATATATATATATATATATATATATATATATATATATATATTGACCTGAATATCATATCATACGGAAGAGTCATATAGCATGACGTGCTATGCAATTTAGCTACAGAGGAAGCGTTTGGTTAGCAAGGTCTTCGACTGCTTTTAAACTACAATTTTCTATTTTTTTCTCAAACGCTAATATGTGATCTAAGCGAATCAACTGATGTCATATATTATGAAATGAACTAAGTCCGACAATTATTTTAATATATTTTCTGTTCATACGTTATTTTTATAGATATAAATATTTAACTAAATCCTTTGTTTATAATAAACAACATTAACAACATTTATCGGCCTGAATATCCGAGAAATTTTATAGAAAATATGTGCCCTTCGATATGAATCGAACATCTATTCTACACGGAATCGTCATGTTTTTTTGTTTTTTTTAAACGCCAGAAGGCTGTTTTGGGGTAGACTTTATTCAGAATTGCTCATTTAAACACTGGATTTATGTTTATATATAAATGCTCTGAAGTGAATTTTGTTGTGCGTTACTGTTGAGCACTATTTTGGATTAAGGCTTCAGCTGCTGGGCCTTGGAACTAGTTTAACTTTATAGAGCGCTATACTGGCAAGCATTTCCAGGTGGCATATATATATATATATATATATATATATATATATATATATATATATATATATGATGAAAATATCATTTGAAGTGATCGTGTATTTAGTTAGGTTTATACAGTGAGTATAATACAATATACTTTATTTCATATAATGCATCATAACACAAATCACATGGCCTGAAGTTTGAAATAAAAAGAAGAACAAACTGTTGCCACTATATATATATATATATATATATATATATATATATATATATATATATATATATATATAAATAAAAGAGACCTCTTTAAGGTTCCATGGAACCTTAAAGTAGTCTGTTTTTATTCAAATTTATTTGCTCTGAATTTATATTGAGCTTTCGTGATATCATCCTCCTTCGGTCTGCCCATATGGATTACCTAGTTTTTAAACTATATATATATATATATATATATATATATATATATATATATATATATATATATATATATGTCGGTCTAAGAGCAAAATTGGCCAAATCCTGTTGCAGCTTAATGTTTAATCTCTAAAAAAACACTAAACTAACTGAGTTTTTTTCCCATGTTTTTACATAAGACGTTTAGTTATCTTGACAACATTTGAAGAAGATAATGCGTTAACATCATTTTGTCATTATTCCATTATGTCTTCTCACTTGAGCAATGGTTGGGTGAAAAATTCATACAGGCCTTCAGTAATGGTACCAACATTCATATTCTGGCTTCTATCTTCAAAGTCCTTTTCAAGAACCATCAAGAGAATGGTGAATCATTTTAAAATTGGGACCAGTAGAGATGAAGATTGGATAAGGAAGTCACAACAGCAAGAGGGATCATCATATCAACTTTGCGCTAATGTAATCAATTAGAAAAGATTCATCTTAATCCTCAAGACATTTGAGACATGAATCGTACGTGAAAAGTGTAAGGCACTTTGTTACTTCACGACAGAAAGTTATAAGGTTATAGCGGGAAATATCATCTTGAATACGTTCGAAAACCATCTTGGAATAATATATATATATATATATATATATATATAAACATATATATATATATAACAGTAAGATATATAATCCGGTGTCATTATAGATATTTTTATTTTTACAAAATTTTTACAAAAGATTCCATTTTTGAAACATGGTTAGAACTGTGTAGCGAAAAAACATATTTTAAATCAATTAATATATATATATATATATATATATATATATTAACTTTATTAACATCCTTCATAAGATTCCGATTCTTAGCTAATGATAAACATGATCGACTTTACCACGAATCTTCTCTTAAACATGGAGAGTAATGATATATTTTTATTGTTCAAAGTAGACTCCAAAAGTGTTATAAAACTATCAGAGAATTACAGTAAGATATCTTTAATCATTTCTAAGATAGAACGGTTCAAATCTTAATCTGACAATATGAAAATTTTGCTGTTATACGATTTGGACAATTTTGCTGTTACTCACGAAACGCACATTAAAATTTCTTGAAGATTTCGCGCGGTAAATTTGAATAATAATTTTTAATTAGAAAAGAGAATATTTACTTAAATAAATGTTTCTAAATTTAACGTATAAACGGAAAATATATTAAATAATTGTCGGATTAATCCATTTCATTACGCACGCACACTCACACAAACACACACATACACGCACCTCTATATATAAATGTGTATGTGTGAGAGAGAGAGTAATTTATATATATATATATATATATATATTTAAAAATTATAACATAAATATGTTAAAAAATCACTAGAAAAATAGCCATTTTTTTTTTCAACACCTCTGGTGTCTTATCAAGTGATGATGTTGAATGTAGATTGTAGGTTCAATGTTGTCAATGTTTACGTTAAGGTACGTTTCGTGAGAGGCTATGATCTTTCGGTAAAGATCATCGAAGATTTGTTGTTTATAAAATTCAATTGGACTTTGCTAACGAGACGTTTCTTTGTGACTCAATGTTTAGTGATGTAATGAAATAACCTGTTACCTCCATCAGTGAGTAACTATAAGTAGTAACTGCCTATAAGTATCTGTAAGTCAACGGAGTACTGGGTCTAGCTGGAACCTTTTCAAGTTGTGCTGGTAAAACTCTCTGCCTCCGAGCAGAGAGGATCCCCAAACGAGGCTATGCCGAGAGTGATGGGGATGAAGTTTGGTAGGTCTTTGACAATTATTGTGTTAATACGACTTATCACCCTTCGACTATTAATCTTTCGACTTAAATATAATCTATTCCTTCATGATATCACTAATCTCATGGGAGAAACCCCCACGCACAAGGTGCCTGAGCATATGTGAATGGATTAGAGCGTCGTGCTCCCCCTCCTTGGAGGGATGTACGCGCATCATTTATCATCTCTCAGTTGCGTCTCTGTCCTTGGACAGAGTGCGCTCGGGGTCTTCTCTGTCTAAGGACAGAGGGGTAATTGAGGAAAATTATACCGAAGATGTGCCCAGCCCTGGGGAACAGCTACCCGAGGCCGCTCCCTCCCATTGCACAAGAGGGAGGGATCGGTGCTGGCGCCGAGACCAGCGCAACCGACAGTTGCTGAGGCTGAGGAGAATTTTTGTCCCTGCCCGGGTGTACGCGCTCGGGTCCCCACATTAAACCGACCTTGTGTCACATCTCGTTTTAGTGGGGGAACGAGTAAATACCGCGAATTGATTTGCTTGGCCACGAGTGATTTGAGGAACGTAACCACACAATAGCTGAAAAACGGGAACAAGAAGAATTTTATGCAACAGGTTCTGCTATTGGCAGCGGTCTGAAACAGCTGGCGGAACGACGCGCGGATGTTTTAGGTATTGGTGCTGAGGAAACCCTGATTGGTAAGAAGATTGGCGAGGAAGAGACAAAGAAGAAAGTCGTGTGGGATAGTCACACTGCATCTATGGAGAAGGACCACCAGAAAGCCAATGGGAACATCACCACTGAAGAAGAGGTTTCTTTTATTCACAAGGTTAATGGTTTGCTAACTGATGATGAAAAAGAAATATTGGTCTAACTATGCCCAAGCATACAATTCCCAAGATAACACAAACAATTCCTCCTGTACCACCAACCAATTTACAACCAAGCATGATGAAAGTGCAACCACCTCCCCAGTGCAGCAGAGCCAAACACATAGCACCTGTGCCCCGCCCACCCATGCCAAAAAATACGGTTCTCCTTTTCGCACCGTCCACCACCAACAGCTATCGGATCTGTGCTTGGAATCACATCACGGCGTACCCCTCAACCACAATCACAACCACCGGTGGAGGTACCACGGAGCCAAACTCAGGACTATGGTATACCACCTCCTCTGCAAGAAGAAGAGCCACAACCACCCTCTACAAAGATGTCTTCACAGAGACACAGATACAATAAAAATATATTTAGTTTTCTTTAAGATGTACCAAAGGTTTCACAGTGAAAAACCAATTGACCATACATATATAGTTCTATATTTCGTGCCATTTTATACACACGTTAGGTATTTCTGCCACAGCCTGTATATATCTGTATATATATATATATATATATATATATATATATATATATATATATATATATATATATATATATATATATATATATATATATATATATATATATATATATATATATATATATATATATATATATATATATATATAGTAGCGTCAAAACTAAGACACAAAATTTTAAAACCTAATATTTGTTAGAAATAACAACTGTGAAAGGCTGAAATTTTGACAACTGGTACTTTTGGACGATCCTATTTTGAAATTAAATAAATAATTGTTATAATTCTTTTTCTATCCTTTG